TTATTAAATTGAATAAGATATAGAGAGGTTTAACGAAGATATAAGCGCAATCTTTTAGTAAAAAACTTGGAATATGATTAACCCCAGCAGTTAAGGAATTTTTACAATTTTTTAGAGCCTGCAGTATTTCATCCTCAGAAATGTGACAAATCGAAACTAGAAGATTGGGAATGTCTTGGGTACATTGCGGCAATGAGATATTAGGATCAGAGGGTATATAAACACTGTTGAAAAAGGAACTGAAAGCATTCACTATCTCGTTTGGATTTGACAAATCCTGTCCGTTAAAATTCATAATGTTTGGGATTCGAGAACCCCCTCGTTTATTTTGAATGAATGCCCAAAACTTCTTTGGATCTTGAGTAATTGAACTTTGAATATCTTGTAAATATTGTGTATAACTTTGTGAGATGGTTATTCATCGAAAGTGCTTGAATTTATCATAGTCAGATTGTATTCTGGATTTTTTTAATTTCTTATGAAAATATGCTTTCTGACGTAAACACTCGATAATCTTACAATCAAACCACGGAGGAAAGACTTGGTGCTTTTTGTTATATTTAAATTTAGGTACTGAAATTTCGAAAAGCTTGTTTAAAGTTTCGTAAAACATCGAGCAAGCTGTGTTAACATCTAACGAATTATTATCCAAAAACGACCAGTCGACCAATGAAAGTGCGTTATAGAGTGACGGGAAGTTGGCTTTTTTGAAATTGAACTGCATAGTCTGCGTGTTAACACTGAAATTATTTGGCTGTGTACTTTCAATATTTATCCGGATTTCCAATGGTGGATGATATTTATCAATTTCAGCTAGGGGATGCTCTGATAAATCAACAGAAGATACAGTATTTGAAAATACCAGGTCAAGCGTCCGATTTGTCACATTGAGTATGTTACTGTGTCGGCAGAAATTATGGAAACTACTGAAATTATTCAACAGTTCCTTACATTTGTTATTCTGATTGTCAAGAAAATGTGGAACATTAAAATCTCCTAAAACAATTACTTTGTTATTATTGACTTCATCAATGTTGCTAAAAAGATCAATAAAAGTTTCATAATCATCAAAAGAGGTAGATGGTGATATATACAACACAAATACACAGAAACCATTATTAAAATTATTACAAGTAGATATCATTATACCAACAACATCTATTGAAGGCAGAGCGTTAGTGATGAAACTTAAATTAATTTGTTTACTAAAATAATTGTCATGAATAGCTGTAAGGTCGCCTCCTCCTCTAGAGACGTTGATGGCCTTAAGGTCTCTGTCTTTTCTCTATATTAAGTAATGTTTTGGAAACAATTCGCTATTAGAAATGCTATCACAAAGCCAGGTTTCTGATAAAGCTATAAAGTCATAAGATGAAGCACATATATTATTGTAGAACTCGTTTACTTTAGATCGCAATCTACGGACGTTTTGGTAAAATAAAATAGTCGAGCATTGGTGATTGGGTGAGTCTATCAGTTTAAAGTAACGATGCGAGGAGTACCGTTGACGTAGCGAATTTTAAGATTAGTTTCTCCACTCGCAGTTCTAGTTTCTAGTTGTTGTCTAAGTTGTTGATACATTTCCAGCTGCCTCGGTGTTCTATCAAATGATATCCTAATATTTGTAAATCCCCCATGGTTTTGGAGATTCTTTGTACGTCTGATGATGTTAAGTACATCAGTATCGTTCCTTAATATGACTCTCAATGGTCGAATACGAGCTTTGTTATAGCGGCCCAATCTTTGGAAACTTTGGATTACCTCACTGGGATCAGTGCTATTGTGGGTGACGTTGAGAATTTCAGATATAATTGTCTTCTCATTTTCCAGACACTCATCTTTTGAATTATTCGCAGAAGCTTGCTCTGGTACATTGTAAATAATAATATTCCTACTCCTTTTATTACGCTCTAGAACTTCCTGAACGACTTCTTCGAGATGATGAAGGAGTGGAAACCCTAGTCGAGTCTAGAGGAATCAGTCCCGATTCACAATTTAGTCTCTTCTTGTACATAAACTTTTCATTTTTACTATCAATTTGCTTTTTTGAAATTTTAAACTTGTTTTTAAATGATAAAAAAAACCGCAATGACAATATAAGTCGGTTTTAATATGTGCCACTAATTAATTACCAAATAATACTGATAACGTTTCTATTTAAATTCTATTGAAATAAATTTGCATTAATCTAATGGTTAGTTTATATTCTTAATGTGTACATTTTTACCTTTAATAACTCAGAATTCGATGGAAAATAGTGAGAAGGACACTTTAGAATTTGTTCACCACTCCCGCTCCTTATGAAAAACATTTTGGACCACACCGTAGATTTTTTTTTGTAAACAAGGAATATAGGTGCATTTATAGAAAATATTTTCAAACATGCCGCCAAGATTTCTTTAGGTTCAGTTTTGATGTCATGCAAGATTAGACGCTGACTTTATCGGCACGTGATCACTTCTTTCTGTTCGGTAAACTTACTGCTACGATTATCGGTAATTTAAAATCGACGTAGGTAAACTCAACAATATATTTCTTACTAACTCAACTTTACAGGGATTATGTACAAAATAATTCCGGCGCAACTTGACTGGACTCTAAATCTATTGCCAATCTGATAAAAATCATCACACACATTAATAGTCACTCGGTACTTAAAAGTCAAATCGATTACACAAATGGTGATTTACCTTATTCAAACAATAATAATACTAAAAACTTAAATTATTAAACATCTGTTTGTGCAATGAAGATGTTAGTTAATAACTAGAAGTGACTTTAATGTAGCACAATCTGATAAAAAATAATTGTCTTAACCAAAAAAATCTATTCATTTTACTAAAACGTAAATAGTTATATTATTTAAGGAACGAACAATCACTTTTTGTATAACAACGAAAAAATTATTCCTTTGTTAAAATTCACTTTTTTAAATTTTAATGGTTACTGTTTTAGTTTGTTCATAAAATGAACACGGTATGTTTTTATGGCTGTGGCGTCACCAACCTACTTTTTTTACGTCTCTTGTTTCAAGCCAAAGGGCAAAGTATGTAAATTATTTTAAAAAGCGCTTCGTATGAAAAATAAGCAAAGATAATTCTCAGATCAATACACACTACAGACGCACAATTTTGCAATACAAATTCGATATAATATATGATGAACTTTTGAATTTTTTATTCTTTATCTAAAATCATCAGCAGTCAAAATGGTGTTTCGCCAGTACCTTCTCTGACGTACTTTGTTTAGATAACTTTAGTTTTGTATGTAATAGTATTTTTTATTGGCTGTTTTCAAAATTGCCGACGTTGACTTTAGAATAATAAACATGCAAATCTAACTTCCCAGCTTATCAGTACCTATGAAATTAGTGCCTTTAGTATGACACTGATAAATTGGTTGTTATTTCTTAGTATTTTTGCAAATGTAGATAGTCACAACAAAGCCTTATACATAAAGAAAATCACTAAAAAAAATAATACATACATACATAATCGATCCTCTTGTACCGCTAGGTGTCGGTTTGCTTCCTTCTATGATTTGCCTCTATTGTTGAATATATCTCCAACATTTTTATTCCAAGTTTTAGTTCCGACACGTACGTCCTAGTCATCTAAGTTTGTTTCTTCATTGCTTTACTAGTTGTAGGTTTCATTTTATCCTTATTTGTTTCTGTATTCCTTATTTTATCTCTTCTGCTAATACCCATAGTTCTTTTTAACTATTTCATTTCTGATATTTCCTTGTTGCTTACACATTTTTTACTTAATATTTTGAAACAGGTTTCAAGTTTTTTCTATTCTGTGCTTTATTTCATCTTGATTACTTTCCCCATTATTATTTATTATAATAGTATCTGTAATGTGTCGTTTGCTCTATACTGTTGTCGTTTAGTTTTATGAGCATGGTTTGCTTTGTTTCGTCCTTGTTTTTGGTGATTATGGATGGTAATAATGGTAATTCATTTCTAGTCCTCAACTTTTTGTTGTACATTACATTTATAAATTTATACTCAAAATTTCAAAAATTCTGTGAAAATCACTAAAACAATCATACAAAAATAATTTTCTTAACCTGATTCCTGAAAAAAGTAGAACTTTTTTATCTAGTATTTTATACCTACAACTTAAACGTAATAGTTATAGGTATTATTCAAAAAACTAACAATAACTTTTCGCGTAACGACAAAAAATTATTTATTTGTTAAAATACAATATTTTTTCGTTAATGGTGACTGTTTTAGGTTGTTCAATGTTCATAAAATGTAGGCATGTTTTTATCGCGATTACGTCACCAACCTATTTGTCTACGTCTGTTGTTTCAACCAAAAACCAAATTGAGCAGACGGTGTTAAAAATGCTTAAAAACTCTCTTTCTCTAAATCCTCAACAGTCAAAACTAGCTCCTTTGTGTTTCGTCAGAACCTTCCATTACGTAGATAACCAACTTTTGTGCGTAATAGTATTTTTTATTATTTATTTTTGGTTGCCCACTTTGACGTTAGAATAATAAACAAGCAATTATAACTTGCCAGCTTATCAGTACCAGTGAAATTGGTGGCGTTAGTACGACATTAATGAATTGGTTGTTACTTCGTATACAGTGTGTCTTATAAGTATTTAATAAGTCGGAAAAAGCACTGCTGGTTTTGTTCAAAATTTCTCCCAAATATAGTGTTGAGAAATCCGAAAATATTGACTACTTTACTTCCATATCGAAACACGAAACTTTTCGATGTTTCATTCATGAGAGTACTGATAGCTGCAGCAAAATTTAGCTAATTTAAATTGCGCAAACTATTGCACCAACGTCCAAACTATTACGACGTGACCATTCCCGCTACAAAAATTAACAATTGTAATTTCCTCAACATAAATACTTGTATTTGTGTTTATACAACGTCAAAACAAAATTGTCTTTCAGACCACTTAGACATATTAGGCTACATATCATTACAGTGATAAAGGTGTCAACTGTTTATAATAAAATATGATAATATATTAGTACAAGGCTAGCATAAAAAATAAGTGATAATATTAAGACACGCGAAACATTTTCGACCGACCACAGTAACCCTAATACAACGATGGAAGACAAAGAACAAGCACAACTCAAAAAGAAAAATTTAAAAGTCCATCCTCGAGCAAAGGCAAATTGTTTGTCCCATTTCTTCTTCTGGTAAGCCTTTGAAGATCACAATTTTGGAATGAGTGTTGTTTTGTAGTTGGGAAATCCCTGTAATTTTGAAAGGGTGGAAAAAAGAGTTGAACGAGGATGATCTTTATGCACCGCTTCATGAATACGAGTCCAAACGCCTTGGTGATAAACTGGAACAACTTTGGGAAGAAGATATGCATTTTCGTAAAAGTCCGAATCTGTGGCGTTGTTTAATAAAACAATTTGCTGCTGAATTTATGTTTTATGGAATTCTTTATGCACCGATACAATTGGCAGTGACGTCTGTTCTGATCTTCTGTTGTGTCTGTGTGTTCTGAACGATTGTTCTAGGCTTCTTCTTCCATATTTCTTGCGAAAATTGCTAGGTTACTATACACCAAACCAAAAAGAGATGACACAAGATCAAGCCTATATTTACGCTGGAGGACTATCTATAGTGGCCTGTGCAAGGGTCTTACTTTTTCACTTTTTCTATTTTGGAACAACCGTTATTGGAATGAAAGTACGAGTCGCTTGTTCTTCCTTAATCTACCGTCATGCACTCAATATGAAGAAAAGTGCCATGGAAAAAATTACTTTAGGTCAATTGATCAACATACTCTCAAATGATGTAAACAGATTTGATCAGGCAGCCCCAAATTTGCATTTTATATGGATCGCCGTAGTGGAATTGATCGTGGGTATCTACTATTTAGATGCAACTCTTGGACATGCCGCTTTAGGAGGAATAGCAGTTATATGTCTTTGTCTGGCTTTGCAAGGTTCGTTACCCCTATGCTAATTTAGTCATAAAATCCCAACACAAATATTTTAGTCTTCTCAATGTTCAAAATATCAAAAAGCAGACTTAAAGTAGCCGAAAAAACTGATTACAGAATAAGGTTAATGAACGACATAATTTGTGGGATTGAGGCTATCAAGATGTACACTTGGGAAAAGCCGTTCGCCAAATTAGTGGAAATCGCCAGAAGGTACGATAATTACTCTAGAACAACTAAAATTAACATTTGTCGTAGGTTAGAACTGGCGGAAATTAAAACAGGATCTCACTATCGACTATTTATTAACACTTTCAAAATTTACATGGGAAAATTCTGCGTCTTTTTGTCAGTTCTAGTGGCCGTCTTAACCTACTTTCCTCTAACGTCTCAGTACGCATTTTCTTTAATCTGCATTTACGAAAGTTTCAAATTTACAGTCATCGTGTTTTTACCACTGGGGGCAATCATGTTTGCGGAAACAGTCATCTCGGTCCAAAGAATAGAAGAATTTTTACTAATAGATTACAAAAAACCGAGCAATTTGGTCAAGTGTATTACCGCATCAGATAAACAGATGGATATTTGCGTTCTAAAGTCTCACCAAGACCACGCTAAGCGAACTCCAGAAGTCTCTCTTAAAAACGTCTATGTGAAATGGAACGAATCTTACACCAATTATGTTTTGGATAACATAAACTTTAGAGCGTCTCCTGGAGATCTGATTGGTATAATCGGACGGGCTGGTAGTGGCAAATCAACGTTGCTTCAAGTGATACTCAAAGAAATTGATATCAATAGAGGGAAACTCAAAACTGAAGGAACAGTTTCATACGCGTCACAAGAAGCATGGATTTTTCCGACTAGCGTCAGACAAAACATCTTGTTTGGACAAGATATGGATTTAGCCAGATATTCAAAAATAATTCAAGTTTGCGCTTTGGAGCGCGATTTGACGCTGTTTCCGTACGGGGACCAAACGCTAGTTGGAGACAGAGGGGTCATGCTGAGCGGGGGACAAAAAGCTCGGATTAATCTAGCAAGAGCTGTATACAGAGATGCAGATATTTATCTTCTGGATGATCCACTATCAGCGGTCGATGCTCATGTAGCCAGACACATTTACGATGAATGTATTACAGGCTTCTTAAAAGACAAATGTGTAATCTTAGTAACCCACCAAACACACTATCTACAAAAAGCAGATCAAATCTATCAGCTAGAGTCAGGAAAAGTTGTTAGTAAAGGTGACTACAAAGAAGTAATTGGTTCTGTTAGTAACAACTTTACAGACAGTGTGTCCTCTGAAGCAACCACAGTGACTTTAGTACAACACGGTTTACGTGAAGAAGTTAAAGAACACAGAGGCTCTGGAACCGCTAATGCGAAAGTTTACAAAGGCTATTGCTTGGCAGCAGGCCACTGGACCTTTTGTTTCGTAGTTGCTCTATTTTTCGTCTTCGGACAAATATGTACAAGTCTTTTAGACTGCTTTCTGACTTTTTGGACGAACGTTGAACAAAAATCAGTCACCAACCTTTCCAGTTTCTTCACTACCGAAAACTGTCTGTACATTTACATTGGTTTAATGATTTTGACTGTGTTTTCAAACCACTTGGCTACTTATACATTTACCGCATTTTGTATCAAAGCTTCGCAACAGTTACATACCAAAATGCTATCCAAGATAGTGTATGGACCCATGACGTTCTTCAACCACCATCCTTCTGGTCGACTTCTGAATCGATTTTCCAAAGATTTGGGCTCCATCGACGAACTTCTTCCATTACATTTAATGAACGGAATAACGGTTGTTTTAACAGGACTAGCTATATTGATTATTATCATCGTCTTAAACTATTGGATGATATTCCCATCACTGATCCTACTTGGATTGACTATCACTTTTATCATTATATTCCAGCCGACGAATCGAAATATCAAAAGGACAGAAGGAATCAGTAAGGTCTATCTTTTTTCTATTTTTCCCTTAATCATTATTCATTGTAGCCCGAAGTTCAGTGTTGACTCACATGTCAACTTCGCTTCAAGGTCTTGTGACCATCAGAGCCCACAATACTCAAGGCAAACTGATTGAAGAGTTTGATAATTATCAAAATATTCACAGTTCGGCTTATTATTTATTTACTGCAACTTTTGCATCTTTCGGCTTCTGGGCTGACTTTATGGCTGTGGTGTATACTGTCCTGGCCGTTTTTAGCTTCTTCTTAGTGAAATCAGGTTAGTATCTTCATCCAATCAAAACAGATGCTAGATGTTATTTTTTAGAAACACACGCTGGTAACGTCGGACTAGCTATAACACAGTCTATTAATTTATTGGGGATGGTTCAATACGGAGTAAAGACATTTGGAGAACTCGACAGCCAAATGACTTCAGTCGAACGGATAGTAGAATACGCAGAACTTGATCCAGAACCAGACAATGGTACCACCACTCCTCCAGATACATGGCCAACGTCGGGCAAATTAACGTTTCGAACGGTTTCCCTTCAATACTCGCCCGATGATCCACCTGTACTCAAACAAGTAACTTTTGAAAGCCAAGCAGGAGAAAAAATTGGCATCATTGGTAGAACTGGTGCTGGAAAGTCTTCACTTATTTCAGTACTATTTCGTCTCTTTGACTTCGACGGATCGATTATCATTGATAACGTAGAAACTAAATCCATACCCCTACAGAACACACGATCTAAAATTTCCATCATTCCTCAAGAACCAATCTTATTTTTGGGAAGTTTGCGCAAAAATATTGACCCTTTTGACGAGTATAGCGACAGTCAAATCTGGAGCGCCCTAGAAGAATTAGAACTGAAACAAATGATTAATAACCTTCCTTCGGGTCTTGAGAGTCTAGTGACTGAAAGAGGTTCCAACTTTAGTGTCGGTGAGAGGCAGTTATTATGTCTAGTACGAGCTATGCTCAGAAATAACAAAATCATTGTACTGGATGAAGCTACAGCTAATGTTGATTTGAAAACAGACGAACTGATACAAAGTATAATCAGAAGAAAGTTTAGAGATTGCACTGTATTAACCATAGCACATCGTTTGAACACCATTATCGATTCTGATAAAATATTAGCTATGGATGGCGGGAAAGTCGTTGAATTTGATCATCCTTATAAGCTCCTGCAAAATCAGAACGGATTCTTTTATGGGTTTGTTGTCAAGAATGGTGACAAAATGTTGAAAGATTTTATCAAAATTGCCAAAAATGTAAGGCTACTTTCATGGTTTAATGTCTATTTTGTCGTATTTTGTTTTAGTCGGCAACTAAGAAAGGTCTTATCCAGAAACATAGGGACTCTATTGAACAGTGATATTTCACGAACAACTTGTAATCAAAAAAATGTATAGTCCCTGGAGATGTGTTAAAGCAAAATTTTAGGGCGGTGCTTGGCATTCCACTATTATTTATTATTCTTGATTATATTTTTTTTATAAACATGCTACATTAACTCTGTAGGCAAATAAAATATGTATCTCCCTTTAAATGAACTCGTTTATGAAATTCTAAACACCGACAATAATGTTATTCAAATGAGTGGAATAATATAACCTTTATGTTATTTTTAAACAAGTTTTGACTTGTAGATAAAATTTTGCACTTTATGCGTCCGATAAAACAATTTTATAAAAACCTATGGGAGCAAACTTCACATTCATAGAAAATGGTTTCATCCCACTACCGGCTATAAAGGACGTATCAAACCATAAAAAAGTCATAACAGTAACTACCAATATTTTATTACATTAATTGTAAGTGTAACCGCTAAAACTAAAAATGCAAATCATTATTATTCAATGCCGTCGAATTTTTAAGTACCTACCTAACGATACAAGTGTTTTTATTTTTTTTTATTTTTTTTTTATTTTTATTACAATCATATCTTTGTCCAAAACGACCAACCTTTTTACTTCATGTTTTATGCTTGTGTGTCATTCAGGTACGCAGCAAAAATGCATTATTTATTATTTATTATTTGTGTTTAGTATTTCTAACAGGTTTGTGTATGTACCTGATATAGCAGTACAAGGAATCGTTTTACATAGGTGTTAAATTAATGATACGTTACATGAAATATGTTGTAGATAAGACAACTACTAAAAGGAAAACTAATTTTTTTATGTAACTTTTTTGTTGGAAAGGATTATAAATTATGTACAGCAAAAATTGACATCTAGTGACGCATCAGATATTAAATTATATAATATTCGCTGCCACATTTTAGCAGACACCTATGTCAATTCCGACGCGTATGATAAAATAGTAAAAGAATGAGATATAAGGTTTTTTACTTGATCAATAAAAAAAAACTGGCCGAAGGTTATTTCTACAGGACTTCCCTCACACCCAAAGACTAGTATTTAAACAAATTCAATGTACTAGAAAAAAAAAGTTTCGACAAAGATGGGATCGAACTAACGCGAGCAGAACTCAAGTTCCCTAATATGAAGTCCACATCCACGGGCAGTCGTTATGCACGTAACCCAGATATCAGCTATGCGCACAAAAATTTTTGCAAAGTAATTGTGATAAAAATCAAGGCCGACTCATAAACCACAAATTGTTGGGGAAGATGATTAGACAAATTTTGGTTACCACGATATTCGTAACTCAATGAGGCAATTTATTTTATTGTTGAAATCAAGAACAGCTCACCCCATTTTCTCTAAAATATGGGAATCGAGTAATGTTGTTATTAGTATCGCACTGCGTCTATCCAAATTTATTTATGTGTTCTTGCAAAAATGTTGACATCATCACAAACTTTTGTAATGTACATACATTTATTTTATCACTGCATACATATCTTTATTTTAAAGGAAAAAACAGCTAATAAAATTCTGTCAGTTAATTTATTACCAAATAAAAAAGGATGATCTTTTGTTATTATATCTTATTTATCTTATTCTGAAATAAAAAAATTAATTAAAGATAGAAACATGTGTTAAACTTTGGACTCCAGAGCAGATATTCATGTGGAAACAGAGATAGAATAAGTCAAGAATCGAAAAATTCTGAAAAATTTTATGCCAAAACGAGTTTCTCCTGACACAGTATCGCAGATTGGTGTTTAACTAAGGAAAAGAAAAATATGTGTTAAGAAGCTCTAGATGAAATAAAATAAAAAGAATGGAATGTGACGTTGAATCAGCCCTAGCCGATCATCATCACTGCGTCAACTGCCAGCTCTCCTGACACACTTTCAACAATTGAGTACCTATGGCAAGGCGCTATGGAAGCTGTGGAACAATTCAGGACAAATAATAGTCCCAATGTTCATATCGCCAGTTTTGACCTGACTCTCCGAGACAACGAAGGGACTTCCCTCAAACCCGAAGAGCGGACGAAACTCCAACAACTTTTAACCCGGAGCCAGGTGCAGTTCGAACAACAGGGACTTCTAACCGAGATAGTTGAGCATCATATTGTCACCGGGAACAATCCACTCGTCACGAGTCCTCCCTACCGAGCCACGCCAAACCGATGTAAACTATTAAAGGACAAAGTCAGTCAGGTCCTTCAGCACGGTATTATTGAAGGGTGCGAAAGGGCGTGGTCGTCACCCGTCGTCCTAGTACGTAAGCCTGACGACAGCACTAGACTATCTGTTGACTATAGAAAATTAAACAATATCACCAGGCGAGACCTTTACCCGTTACCAAGAATGGAGGACATCCTTCATTCAACAGGACCGGTCGCTTATACATATCATTGATTAAATACATATAGATAGACCCATGCTATTGTTTGGAGCGAACAGGCCAACGGCCCGCGAACAAGAGATGGCGCACCAACAGTCGGCCGTCAAACGCCGGCGAAAAGCTTGGACATCAATCACGCGCATAGGTAACACAAATCACACCAACAATACATTTAATAAATCTACCACTCGATAGAGGGCGACGAAAAAAATGTGTAAAAATCTCATAGTCAGCATTTAGATAATTTACAATGTTGCCAGATGACCCTAACACAAGTTTGCCGTTATTTCTAGCCAAGTAGGTTTTATTTCGTTTAAAAGTTTCTGATAAAGAAATGGGATAATTTAATGAATAAAAATAAATAAAACAAACAAATTATTACTTGTTATTTTAAATACTTGTTAGTGCTAACATTATTATAAATACGGTCCGGTAACTCAAATTTTACAGTACGAGTGAGATGTTTCAGGACGAGGCGACTGTAGGGAGCCGAGTCTTTAATTTCGAAACGAGTACTGCGAAAAGAGTTACCGGACGTATGTCGTTATGGATTTTATTTCATACTATCAACATATTTTTTTATTCGATAAAATAATTACTATTTTGAGAAAAAGTTCAAATCGAGTCACTTTTTCTGACATCGTCAGCAACCGCTGTTTGGTAAATGTTTTAATTTGTTTATTCGTGCAAATCAGCATCAAAAATGGTGTTTAAACACATAGTAACACTTTACAGGACTTGTTTTTTTTAGCTCAATTTTACCGGACTTGTCCGTTTTTTTTTTATTTTACCGGACTCCTTCGAATCCAGTAAAACGTGAAATTTGACACAGTATGAAGTAAAATAAATGTAAATAACACATTGGAAATTTTTCTACGCTTTTATGTGCTCGCTTTTGTTGCTAATAATACAAAGGAAAATGGTTTTAAATGCGTTTTCTCAAAACTTACTATATTTTTTTAGAAAATTTATTAGACTAGAGACGGACAGATATATACTAAAGACAAAACATATGCATTCATATATATCTTAAAAAACGGGTAACATATGCCGCATAAAGTAAAAAATCAGACATTTTCTTTCACATTTTATGATGTAAATATAATTAAGTATATCGATAACTCGCTACTGAAAATTTATTGAAATATAATTTGTGTTAAAAAAAGGTTTTTGTGGTTTTATGGTTTATTACACGGAGGTAGAAGAGACCGGAGGGAGCGTACCGTATGCGAGCAATGTAACGATTCTGGCATCGTTCAAGACCCAGTCAGACACCGGTTATGATCTTATTTGAACAAGGCGCCAATATTTGTCAGCCCGACGCAAACGCGCTCCTACACTCAACAGCTGACAGGGTTTGGATTTCCAGTGGCGTATACTATCACGTAACACGTGCTGTTTATATGCAATTGTTCGTTCTTGAGTTTGAGTTTAGTTGTGCTGTTTTATTTTTGGACGTGTTGTTGGTGTTTTTAATTTGAATAGACTTTGATTATAACTAAAGATCATAATAGCATTTAGAGACTTATATATAAAGTAGTCAATATAAAATATGTTGCCCCGCCACTGGTTACGACTGCTAAACATTTAGAGGGTGGAGCTTAGCACAGCGCGCATTTCAAGTAGGGTCATAAACGGTGCCTGAGCCTGTGTCACAAAACTCACGACACCTTCCCTCCGGTCTCTTCTACCTCCGTGGTTTATTAACATAATTTACTTATTTAAATTAAATATTTTTAATACATAGCACAAGTTCTCGATATTCTTTATTTTTATTCCAAGAAAATTTTTCGGTTATTATCTAACATAGTTTTGTACATTAATAAGAAACTCCATTCCACGTCGCAGAACGTTACAGGACAATATTTAAATAAATAAAGAAGTCGTTTTTATGTGTTTTAAAATTCACTCTGATTTCCGAACTTTAGACTTTTTGGTGTTTCACTTCGGCACAAGAACTACTCGTATCTCAAAGAAAACAAAGAGTGGAAAAATGGAACAGCTTTAGAAACTATTCTTTTATTTGTTCTGTCTTGCAGCGAGAAAAGAATATAGCGTATTGTACCTATATTTCATTGTAAAATTGTCGATCCGGTTTAAAATTCTACCCACGTAATTAGGTAATTACGTTAACAAACTAAAATTTTCATTGAAGAGACAGACTGTTCTAGGAAACTTCACTAAATCTCTTTATTTACGAGCTATTCAAAGACCACCGGTCTCACTGATATTTCTTACCAGGCTCCTACGAATGAAGCGAAAAATGCACAGATTGGAAATATAGTAAATGGGGTAGTACCTACATATGTATGTATGCGTAATATGTCGTTAGACATTAAGTATTTTGCAAATAAAATTTATTTCATTGAAAACAGAAGCATTAAAAAACATATCTGTACAAGTTTGGTATCGATATGGCCAGTTGTTTAGAATATGCAAATATGCTTTTGTTCGTATTTACAATCATTACGAAACAGGTTATCAAATAATCTATTTTCACAAGGCTGGACTTTCAAGCGGCAGAAGAGTTAAAAACCATAAATTTTCATTGAAGAAACAAACTCTTCCAAGAAAATTTACCAAATCTTTTAGTTTACGCACTATTGGACGAGCACTCCTTAAAACGGCCAGTATACCTAATCGCATTATTGCATTTAGAAGGTTCTGGTAAATAAATGGGATTATTATAATGAACAAATAAAACAAATAAATTATGACTATTATTTGTTGTTTTAA